CACACACACACACACACACACACACACTTACTTTATACCCCTCCCAGCCTGAGAATAGTCATTATGGGCAGAACAACTGGGGAGGGTGCAATGATAAGGAAGTGAAGTATGTCGTTTAAAAAAAGGTAAAAATGCTTGAGTCAGAATGTGCACTGCAGGACACAAGAAGAGCAGGTGATGTGTGAAATGATAATAGAGAAGCAGACAGAGAGACTGAGTCTAGAGACTAAGACTGGGAGATCCGGAGAAAAAAAAGAAGCTAAAGCAGGGAGGGAGGGAGGTGGAAGAAGCTGAGGGGACTGCAGCAGCAAAAATGATGCAGTTTGAATCTTCACTGGCACCATTAGTAGTATCCATGTAGGTGATGAGCTTCAGCACCTCATCATCCACAACTGTCATGTGCTGATTTTATTTGAACAAAATGTTAACATTATTAAATAAATATAAAAGTTAATAAGTAGTGTTTTTTCCATACAGCTGAAGAGTGGAAGTTTAGATCAGTTTGATAACATTTGCATTTATAGTACACCTCGTACGAAGAACCATTTCTTTTACCTACGTAGATACTTACCAAGTTATAAGTTCATTGAGTCTTTTTACTTATCCATTTAATTCATGTATTTCAGTTGTGTAATCCTGGACATGTTACAGCAAGGGAATGCCTCTACATTGAACTGCAGGTATGTCTGTGATGTTTTATCAAATTCTTGATGCCTGATTTACACTCACTTTTAAGACCTTGTAAGAGAAAGTCTTATCTAAGTTTCTGAAGATGTTTAAACTCTTATTCAAGAGGCTTCTTCGGTTCTAAACCCAAAAGGTGGAGGGCGCCAGGTATTTAAATCCTAGTGGGCGTTGTCCCCTTTGGAGATTAAACCATTACTGATCATGTGCGTAATCACATGAGCCGAGGTGTGAAAAAGGGTATGACTCAATGCCATCACTGGGGGTTGAGGATAAAACCACTGTAAGACTTTGCCTCACCCTATCATGTGACCTATTGAGGTCATCAGATGCAAGTTGTGAGTGGGGGTTTAGATGCCTGGTAAGGGATTTCAAGACTTAATTGTAGGTGTCATAATTCACCAAAACATGGTCATTAACATGCCCTTTTTTGCTCCTCTTTCAAACCATTTGTCTTCTCTGTCCAAAATGTGAACATTGGCATCCTCGAGTGACCTTTGACTCTGCATTAAATTATTAGTTATAATTAATCTCTGGCTTTCTACTGCAAGATCTCTTTGATCTCTTTCTCCCCTCACCCCAACCAGTTGCTCAGATGGCCGCCCCTCCCCGAGCCTGGTTCTGCTTGAGGTTTCTTCCTATTAAAAGGGAGTTTTTCCTTGCCTGACCTGCTGTAAAGTATGGTTTGGAGAATGAAACGGACAAAGGATGTTGAACATGGAGCTGCCAGGCAAGAGAAAAAGATAAAGACCAAAAAGAACATCCATGGATATAGTGAGGGATGACATGCAGAGGGCTGGTGTGACAGTGGAGGATGCTGGGACAGTGAGATGGAGGCACATGATCTGCATTTGGTGATGAAGACATGCCAAAAGAGATATCATGTCATTTTTCAAAAAATAATACATTTATACATTTGTTTTCCTAACGGCATCTTGAGGTAAAGCAAACTGTACCAGAAACAAGTGCATTCATGGGGTTCCTACCATTTTCAGCATTGCCTGTAGTCACTTAAAATGAGTGTTTATGGTACAAAATTACATAAAGCATTAAGTTGGATATCTTCATGCTTGACTTTGTTTTTAAGTGTATTAGCATAAGGTACTCAAAGTACAGGATCTCCAGGATTTTGTCAGACA